ATATATAATATAAACCTTTATGTATACTTTAACGCCTATTTCTTCACGCATATAAATTCATATCACCTGAGGACCACATTTATAAGTTTTTATCTCTCGAAAAACTTGTTCATATATTACTTACCACACTTCTAATGGTTTCTTATCGATACGTACGATCTTAAGACACAATTCGTGGTACATAGTTCACACTTCATACCTACCGCTCCGTAACAAACTCGGCCATACTTTCGTGAACAGAGTTTAATTAGGAGAAATACAGGACTTCTTATCTGTATACACACGCGCGTATGTGGGATACGTATACGTGTCAAACATTTCACATGGCGAAGTACCGCACCGTGTACAGGTACGATACCTATATCATACAGATAAGTCATGTGTACAAACTCATTTGTACATGGCCACTTGGACCTATCCGCTGTTCAAAGGGTATCCAAAAGCATCGCAAGCTCGTGGTTGACAGGGTGTTTTTCACAGAACCTCTAGTTCACCAATGCGCAGGAGAACGCCACAGCTATACTCTACCCTCCCTCCCGTACGGCCATTCACCAGGATGACCTCTAAATACTCTATTGTATATCATCAACCTAAGCCACAAGATTCAACCGATCCACTATCACGACAAACCAGTGCTCTGGCGCGAGCGTATTTACCAGAGCCTCGATTTACATCATGCATTCAATCCCCATAACTCACCGGTTGATATCGAACTCACAGCAAGGTAAATCGGCGCTTTGACATAATATATATATATATATATAAATATTTATATATATATATACATATACACACATATATATATATACATGGTCTCGCTAAAATTCCCTTGCACTTCGGGTCACGAGATTTGTCCAAGGAAATCATGTACTGAAACACAATCAATACCAATGCATAACCCTCAACTGCATACCACCATACTATACGGACACCCATTCGCATCAGATTGCCAAGCCTGACACTCATCGTCACCCGCGATACCTCGTATGACGTTCCCTCACATCGGCTTGCGCTTGATATTCTTATCTCCTCTCGAACGTCCTGGTGCACCGCACTGTCTATTTAAACACTCTATTCCAAACCATCAACATCAGTCATCAGTACATCTATCGCTCCAATAGTCAAGGTTCCTTGCCCGAGTCCTTCGCTACACCCTCCGGTGTGTACGTTAGTAGTCTTCCGCCAGAGCCAGATACTACGGGTCTGGGTAGATCGAGGTTCATCTTGGGTTTATTGGTCATAGCACGCTGGTAGAAGAAAAACCCGGTTATAGACAACGCATAGGCCACACACTGCAGCTGGGTGACCGCGTTGCCAAGCATCACGGCCCCTAGCAACACAACTCCGACGTTCTTCGCCTGGGCGAGCACCTTGAAGCTGAGTGAGGAGGTCAGCTTAATCACAGTCATAACCAGCAGATTACAGACAAACCCAAGTGAACCTGCAACTAGGTACATATGAGGACTGGCCAGCATTAGCTCAAAACCTTGGTCGGCATGGAACCTACTTCCCTCAAAACACACGCCTAATGCGAGTAAACACAGGAACGTGATGGGTGCAATATGGAAGAGGCCTTCAATGGGCCCAGAAAAGGTGCCGCTGAGAAGCTTCTGAGTCATCACCAACTTCAAAGACTCGAACACAGACGAACTCACAGACAGCGATACACCGAAGAGCGAGAAGTCCAATTCACCGTACGCGGATGTGGCACATCCAACTACAATCAACCCCACGGCCATCAGGAGATCCTTTCTGGGTCTTTCTAACCCGAAGAGGAACATTGTGCACATGGTAATGGCGGGTGTTCCGGCTTTGAGCATCTGGATAAAGGCCACGGAGAGGTGCATGTACACCGCGTTGCCTGTTGCTAGGGTACCGGCAGACATGAGTCCAATGGGCAGGATCATCTTGATGTACTGTTCTGTGGATAGGTGAACGTTCTGTTTGGCCCAACCCATGCGTATGAATATATACGCTCCGATGAAGGAGAACAACTGACCCAGACTGCATAGGAATATGGGGTACTTGAAGTCGCCGGAGTTGAGGATGTGGTTGTTGAGCATGATCAGTGTTGTACTACATGCTGCCCATCCAAGACAAGTCAGTACGGTGATCAACAGACCGGTCACCGCTTCGTCGCCCTTCACTGAAGTCATATTGCAAGTTCAATACAAAACTAACTTAAGCCCTTGCATATATGTTTGTGTGGTAGCTGTGTCTCAATATGTACCACTTCCACTTAGTTTTGAATTGGGCCCAATACTCCAATAGGATAATCCATAAGCACACGGCGCCAAGGCCGGGCGCGAGCCTTGCAGTCGGCCTAAGAACTTCACTTTGAAGTTTTACGTAAACGCAAAAACAATTGAATCCTATACGTTCCAAGTTAAAATCGATAGACCACAATCCCACAGTCCCTGGTTGAAATCCCGATCGTATTTTTATAATATTAAAATATACCATCAACGTACGACAATTTAAAAATAAACGTTTCAACGAAAAACGAGGAGAGCGGAAAAAATCAAACACAATCCAAGTAAATATTCTGTTTATTTGGGGGGGGGGGGCGTATAAAAATTCATTATAATATCAACCAGGGTTCTCATGGCAACCAAATATTCCCAAGCACACTGAGATTTGTAAGGTGAGCTCAGACTCACAGCCTCCGACATATGTACTGACTTATTTTTCAAATACATAAATACGTATTCTCGGCATTTCTCGCAGACTACAGTATTCGGGTGTCAATTTGGAAAACATCATAGCCTTCTGTGTTCAATTTTCAGGAGGCTATTAAAAACGAGATGATAAAAATCTGTGCGTCGTTCTCACATGGTATAGCTGTAGTATATAATACTAGTAACTGAATGTTTCTGAACGGTTTAAACGACCCACACAAACGCAGAAAAGGAGAATAAAAGGGCTCATATTAACGATGGATGGTGAAGAGGCTGTCTATGATGACATGAAATTAACATAAAATATAACAACACTTTCATGCTCTATGTATTAGTATGTATACATGTTCGATTATATATGATAC